ATAGACTCTCCTTCTGAATTTGAAACGAATAAGTGAAATGATTTTTTTTTAATGTACAGTAATATCATTTTTTTATTCTTACTTATCACACCCTTCGCTTCGAATGAAACAACAGAAACCTTAACAAGAAAAGAGGCCTGTGTGTGTGTGTGTGTGTGTGTGTGTGTGTGTCGTTGTGTGTGCTTCGCTGTGTTGTGGTGCTGTGTGTGTGTGTGCTGTGTGTGTGACGAGAGAGAGACGAGGACGCCAGTACATAATCACCGACTACTATACCTAACACTATATCATTATATAAACTATGTACTACAATACATACACTACTATCATGTGTGGGTGTGTTTTGTGCGTATGTGTGTTATATACCATATATCCATACAATCACTATATATGCAAATACATATAGCCTATATATACTATATAATATACTACTACTAATATATATTATCCTATATACCATTATATCCATATATNCTTCCTGCCTTGCCTTCCTGCCTTGCCTTCCCTGCCTTGCCTTCCCTGCCTTGCCTTCCTGCCTTGCCTTCCCTGCCTTGCCTTCCCTGCCTTGCCTTCCCTGCCTTGCCTTCCCTGCCTTGCCTTCCCTGCCTTGCCTTCCCTGCCTTGCCTTCCCTGCCTTGCCTTCCCGCCTTGCCTTCCCTGCCTTGCCTTCCCTGCTTGCCTTCCCTGCCTTGCCTCCCTGCCTTGCCTTGCTTGCCTGCCTTGCCTTGCCTTGCCTTGCCTTGCCTTGCTTGCTTGGCCTTGCCTGCCCTGCCTTGCCTTGCCTTGCCTTGCTTCCCTGCCTTGCCTTCCTGCCTTGCCTTCCCTGCCTTGCCTTCCCTGCCTTGCCTTCCCTGCCTTGCTTCCCTGCCTTGCCTTCCCTGCCTTGCCTTCCCTGCCTTGCCTTCCCTGCTTGCCTTCCCTGCCTTGCCTTCCCTGCCTTGCCTTCCCTGCCTTGCCTTCCTGCCTTGCCTTCCCTGCCTTGCCTTCCCTGCCTTGCCTTCCCTGCCTTGCCTCCTGCCTTGCCTTCCTGCCTTGCCTTGCCTGCCTTGCCTTGCTTGCCTTGCCTTGCTTGCCTTGCCTTGCCTTGCCCTTGCCTTGCCTTGCCTTGCCTTGCCTTGCTTGCCTTGCCTTGCCTTGCCTTGCCTGCCCTGCCTTGCCTTGCCCTTGCCTTGCCTTGCTTGCCTTGCCTTGCCTTGCCTTGCCTTGCCTTTTATATTTTCTTTTTTCTTTTCTTTTCTTTTCTTTCCTTTCCCTGCTCTCTCTTCTCTTCTTCCCTCAAATCTCTATTTCCTCTCGTATCTCTTTTTTCCTCTCCTCTCTCTCCTCTTTTTCTGTCTTTTCTCTCTTTTCCTCTCTTCTCTCTCCTCTTTTTCTCTCTTCTCTCTCCTCTTTTCCCTCTCTTCTCTCTCCTCTTTTCCCTCTCTTCTCTCTCCCCTTTTCCTTCTCTTCTCTCTCCTCTTTTCCCTCTCTTCTCTCTCTTCTTTTCTCTCTCTTCTCTCTCCTCTTTTCCCTCTCTTCTCTCTCCTCTTTTCCCTCTCTTCTCTCTCCCCTTTTCCCTCTTTTTCTCTCTCCTCTTTTCCCTCTCTTCTCTCTCCTCTTTTCCCTCTCTTCTCTCTCCTCTTTTCCCTCTCTTCTCTCTCCTCTTTCCCTCTCTTCTCTCTCCTCTTTTCCCTCTCTTCTCTCTCCTCTTTTCCCTCTCTTCTCTCCCCTTTTCCCTCTTTTCTCTCTCCTCTTTTCCCTCTCTTCTCTCTCCTCTTTCCCTCTCTTCTCTCTCCTCTTTTCCCTCTCTTCTCTCTCCTCTTTTCCTCTCTTTTCTCTCCTCTTTTCCTCTCTTCTTCTCCTCTCTTCTCTCTCCTCTTTTCCCTCTCTTCTCTCTCCTCTTTTCCCTCTCTTCTTCTCTCCTCTTTTCCTCTCTTCTCTCTCCTCTTTTCCCTCTCCTCTCTCTCCTCTTTTCCCTCTCTTCTCTCTCCTCTTTTCCCTCTCTTCTCTCTCCTCTTTTCCCTCTCTTCTCTCTCCTCTTTTCCCTCTCTTCTCTCTCCTCTTTTCCCTCTCTTCTCTCTCCTCTTTTCCTTCTCTTCTCCCTGTCCCCTGTCCCTGTCCCCTGTCCCCTGTCCCCTCTTCCCTCTTCTCTCTCTGCTTTCCTCTCTCCTCTCTCCCAACTGACCAAACCAATCCCGTTTGACCATAGCATTCTATCCATTCTCTTTGCCTTCTTCCATATCTCTCTGTTTTGAAATGTAAAATTAAGGAATTCTAAATCTTTCATCTGTTCAACATAACTGCAAATATGATGCTCCATCCAAATATCTTTATACTACTTATCTTGACATAACTATACAAGAAAAATACAAGAATTATTGTTGTGCATGTTTTTCAATTGCAAAGAATCATAGTATAATATCACAATCAATCTGTACTGTATGACACTTTGGCCCCCACTTATACCTGATACACACTTATTACATTTGCACTTCCACACTCTCTTCATCAGTGGATTCATGAAACAGTCAAGACAATACTTAATTTTATA